ACGTTTCCCTTCCCAGTAGTGTCAAAACGACTGGAAGTGCTATGGGCTAAGACGAGCAACATACAGATCTCTAGCTTATCATATGGTTTTTATGTTGTTCATTTCAAGAACGAGATGGACTATGTTCAGGCGGCCATGGGTGGCCCGTGGATGATCGGCAATCACTACATCACGGTGCGACCATGGAGGAAGGGTTTTGACCCCAAGTCTGCAGAGGTAGCCACAACTCTTGTATGGGCTCATCTTCCGGAACTACCGGTCGAGTTCATCAACCGCAAAGCCGTGGAAAGAATAGCAACGAGGATTGGACGTCCAGTTCGTGTAGACCGAACAACGACGTCGGGCGCTAGAACTAAGTTTGGGCGAGTTTGTATAGAGGTTGACCTCATTAAACCTCTTTTAGGACAATATAAAATTGAGGGAAGGACGTACTATGTGGAATATGAGGGGCGTCACAACATCTCCACTGAGTGTGGAGTCTATGATCACTCGAAAACCAACTGCCCCACATTGAGGAAAGCAACCCTGAAAACCATAGAACCATCATCTGCCACACCTCCACCTGCCGAACAACAGAAGAAAGCATATGGGGAGTGGATGATGGTGAAGCTGAAGAACAAACAATCCGGGGCAAAGAGGATGAATGGCAAGGATCAACCGCCCTCAAACTTGCATGGGAATAGTGGCATGCAGCATGCAGGTTCCAGGTTTACAGCCCTGGAAGTTGAAGACTCTTCACCAATGGAGTAGGAGGAGGAAATCGATGGGGGTACATCCTCACGGCACTCTCCTTGCTCCGGCTACTACACCCGAGCAACAATCCCAACCAGCTCACACCATGTCAGCTTGCGCCCCACCAGGTCCTTCGAGTGGTCAAGCTATTGTGGATAGGGCTTCGTCCGATATAAATCCGGCTACCCGTGGGACCGATGATCATCAGAAGAAAGGGGTCTCACTTAAAGGCTTGGTGGAAGTCCCTGTTCGGCAAGGGGTACAGGTCGGAAGCAAAAGAGTGGAATTCGAGCACACCAACTCGTTGACGGGGAAAGGACCAACAAAGAAAGGGGGAAACAATAAAACCCCTACTTAGCATAAGGGTGCCACCAACGAACGAGTGATTCCCTCCCTCCAGGGATGCAATTCAGAGAGTAAACCCCGAAGTACTACTACTAGTGCTTCTGAGAAGATGAAGGTGGGAGGGAAGCCTCCTACGAGTCTGATGGCGCCATAACCGGGCTTGGCCCGTCCCCAGGGGAGTCTCTTCCTCTTGTTCGTTGTGTTTATTTCCTTTTATTTGTGTTATTATGTTGAACATTTTCTCTTGGAACTGCCAAGGGGCAGGAAGTGACTAGTTTCTTGTTTATTTGCGTAATTTATGTGCCTCTACAATGCCGGACTTGGTAATAATTGTAGAACCACGTATTAGTGGGGATACAACTAGGGAAGTGATCCGTAAAACGGGTTACGATGGAAAGCTAATTATGGATGCAGTTGGGTTTTTAGGTGGCATATGGGTGTTGTGGCATCGATACACTGTTCAAGTGACTAAGATAACCCAATGGGAACAAATGATCCACTTTACTTGTATCAAGCATGGCATGGGAGGAGAGGTGGCGGTGTCGGCAATTTATGGCAACCCTAACACTGCTCTTCGGCAAAATTTGTGGGAGGAGATCGGACGTCTCGCCAGTGGGATGTCTCTACCCTGAGTTCTTATTGGAGATTTTAACTCCATTCTGGGGCCAACGAATAGGTGTGGAGGGGTGCCTTACCAGGAAGCTCGGACGCGACCTTTCAGAAGATGCGTTGACGTAAATGGCCTGTTCGACATCAATTTCACAGGTCCACGTTTTACCTGGCATCGAGGAAATCTCCGGCAACGCCTCGACAGAGCTCTCTGCAATAAGCTTTGGATGACAAGGTTCCCACAGACGGCAACGAGACATCTCGAAATGGTGGGCTAGGACCATAGGCCGATCCTCTTGATGGGAGATGCGCAAGATACTAGCTCGGGTCCCAAGCCATTTCGATTTCTCGCGGCCTGGTTAACTCATGATGATTTTGGGCGCGTTCTTGAAGACCACTCGGGAAGAGAATTTCCGCCAGTCGACAAGCGTCCTCACCTGCGAGCTACAAAACTGGAATAAGATGACCTTCGGCCACATCCTCCGACGAAAACATATGCTTGTACGGAGGCTGAGGAAGCTGGAAGAAGAAAACGAGCGGGGAGGCACCCCTCACTCACAAGAAATGGAGAAGGAAGTTCGCCAGGAGCTTGAGTCCACCATTTGGCAATAACATCTTCTTTGGTTTTAAAAATCCAGGGCGCAATGGGTATCGGGGGGTGATAAGAACACCTGGTATTATCACCTCTCCACGCTGAAGAGGAGGAGCTTCAATCGGATCCGTGGCCTTAAAGACGAACATGGGAATTGGGGTTTTGAAGAAGCTAATATGTGCAGGATGGCCAGGGATTTCTATGCCACTCTCTTCCTGACCGAGTTTGGTCCAACTCCCAAGCTGCTAGCGGCGTTCACAGCAATTGAGGTAGGCGCGGGGGAATGCCTACAGTCATGAATCACGCGGGAGGAAGTCTGGGCGTCGATTAAAAGTATTGGGGTTCAAAGCGCCCGAGAAAGATGGGTATCCTTCGGTCTTCTATCAAAAGTGCTGGAGGGTGGTAGCCGATCATGTTTCCATATTCGTTGCATACATGTTTTGTGACCCTAGTCTGATTGCAGGAGTTAATCAAACGTTGTTGGTGCTTATTCCCAAGAAGGAGAGCCCAGAGAGTATTCAGCAATTCCGGCCTATAGGACTGTGCAATGTGATCTATAGAACTATAACAAAGTGTTTGGTCCACAGGATTAAACCATGGATGAGGGACCTGGTTCACCCTACCCAGACCAGTTTTGTCCCTGGGAGGCAAATATCAAGTAACATTGTCATCCTACAGGAGGTGGTGCATTCCATGAATCTTAAGAAGGGCAGGCGTTGTGCAATGGTCCTGAAAATAGACTTAGCAAAGGCTTATGACAGAGTGAGCTGGCGCTTCATCCAGGAGACCATCACCTTGGCGGGGTTCCCGAGCAAGCTGTGCGAGGTCATCATGGGGTGCATCTCGTCGCCTTCCATGCAAGTCTTATGGAATGGGAAATGCACAGAATCTTTCACTCCTTCCCGTGGGTTCCGACAGGGTGTCCGCTCTCGCCGTACTTGTTCACGTTGTGCATGGAGAGTTCGAGTCACACTATTCAGGCTGAAGTGGATTCAGAAAACTGGAGACCTTTCACGGTGGCACCAGGTGTCCTCCTATTTCACATATGTTCTTTGCGGATGACTTGATTCTTTTTGCAGAGGCATCGGAGGAACAAGGAGAGGTGGTCTTAGATTGCCTAGAGCGCTTCTGCCAGGCTTCGGGGCAGCAAGTGAGCAGGGAGAAGTCGATCATGTTCTTCTCCAAAAACACAACCCGCACCACTAGCGCTGCGATTTTGAGGCGCTTGGGCATTCCGAAAACGCAGGACTTGGGACGATACCTGGGAGTGCCGCTGCTGCATGGTAGAGTCACCAGAGAGACCTACATGTATATTCTAGCTCGAATGGATGGCAAACTTGCAGGCTGGAAGGCCAAGAACTTATCCTTTGCAGGTCGAGTGACTCTGGTCGCGTCGGTTCTCAACACGCTACCGACATACGCCATGCAATCCACCCTGCTGTTTGTCTCCATCTGCGACGAGATTGATAGGAGGATTCGCAGTTTCATCTGGGGCTCGGTGGGCGACAGTAGGAAGATGCATTTGGTGCACTGGAAGGCTATTTGTCGGCCGAAAAAGGAGGCTAGTTTGGGTCTAAGAAAAACTTGTGAGCTTAATCTAGCTTTCTTGGCTAAACTTGCATGGATGTTTATGAAAAATCCAGACGAGTTGTGGGTACAGGTACTTCAAGCCAAATACTTTAGACTGGTGGACGGTCAGCTGGTGGCCAAGAATGCGACTCGGGCATCTACTATTTGGAAAGGCATTCGTAAAGCTTGGCCTGTAATGGCGGCAGGTACACACATGTGCGTGAAGGATGGCGAGACAACATCCTTTTGGACTGACAGATGGCTTGACAGTGGGGAGTGCCTCATTGACCACATTGTGGAGGACGCGTCGCCCTTTAATCCACAAACTGCAGTGGCGGACTTTGTCACTTCATTAGGTGAGTGGAACATCCCCCTCTTGCGTTCCTTGCTCCCTGAGAATTTGATTTTGCAGATTCAGGGGGTTCAACCTCCCATAGAAGGCTCAGGGACGGACGTAGCCACGTGGGGACCCAAGGGGGACGGCCTGTTCCGCGTCCGGTCGGCTTACGACCTCGCAGTTAACCACAAGCAGATGGAGAGGGAGTTCCACTGGCGCATCATCTGGAAATGGAGAGGGCCAGCGCGGGTTCAGCATTTTCTTTGACTTGCAGTGCGAGAGAGGCTCCTCACTAATGTCAAACGGAGCCGGAGGCATCTGTTGCAAGACTATAACTTTGCCAGGTTAACTTGGATGCGGCTACTCCAAGCTTCTGAATACCAGACTTTCTTCAGTTTGTCACTGCAGGAATGGATTGCGAAGTACCTAGCTGAAGAGGACACTGGCTTGGCCTTCGGCATCACTTGCTGGTCCCTATGGCGGACCAGGAATGACCGAGTTTTTGCAAACAAGGTTGTTTCAGTTGAAGCTTTTCAACAACGCGTCCTGGCTTGGTTAACTATCGTGAGGAATGCCATGGACAAGGACTGGATCGTTCACCATCCATGTCCACCCGCTAGAACGGAGGAGATGATATCTTGGAAACCTCCTTCTCCCTAGTGGGTTGCTCTCAACTCTGATGGCTCCGTTCACCAGGATTCAGGCTCTGCAGCTGGGGGCCTGATCAGAGATCCTTTAGGACACTGCATTGCAGCGTTCGCTTGTAACTTGGGGATCTGCTCGATCACTCGAGCGGAGTTGAGAGGCGCTACAGAAGGGCTTCAACTGGCCTGGGATCTGGGTTTTCAACGCGTGAGGGTGGAGTTGGATTCCAGATGCGCTGCCCACCTTCTCAGCAGCAACGCGCAACCGGATCATCAGCATAGTGCTATTACCGACCGTATTCAGGCGTTGTGTAGGCGTGATTGGGAGGTCGTCTTTTATCATGCTTATAGAGAGGGCAACAAGTGTGCCGATTACCTTGCTAGCCAAGGCCACTATTTGTCGCTAGGTATCCATTCTTTTCCTGTCAGTGACCTCACTTTGATGTATTGGATCCTATATGATGTTCAGGGGATTTCTGAGCTCCGTCTGGTAATGAATGAAAGGTAGGATGCCCCGCATCCATTTATAAAAAAAGGGGGACAGGATACAAAGTATGAAAATGCAATATGGACAGTTAGCTGATAATTCAAAAGGGGACAGGATACAAAGCATGGAAATGCAATATGAAACGTTAGACGTATTCCCCTAGCAATCCCAGCTATTATTGGGAGCAGCAATTCAATAATACGATTTTCTCTAAGCCGGATGAAGCTTTGGATGGAGAGGGATGGAAATCAGCATCGTTCGTCGGTGTTGGAGTGGATGTTCTTCGCCGCTGGATGCAGGAGGAGTCAATTGGCGGCTGCTATGGTTCAGCGGCAAAAGGCCCAAAACGACACCCTAGGTCGTGTGTGGATGGATAAGTGCAACAACTAAAATGAATACAAATGGGGGATTCAAATCCCTGACTTCATTTAACTAATGTGCTGATTTTCAGCCAGGCAACAGAGAGAAACCCGTGTTTTATGTTTCACAAAATGGGTATTTGTTGTTTCCTCCCCGCTATCCAACTTGATTTTCCAACGAAAATCAGAATGACAAATGAACATGTTTTTTTCTCTTATGTTTCTTAATTTTTGTTGGGAAAACAAAAAACAGAAAATAAATTGGGAAGTGAACAGCAGCTAAGGTGTGCATATTTAAATTCGGATTCAGATTCGGTTAAGTGCAATGATCGGTCCACACCGCATCAAACCATACTGAGTCGATATTTGGATCAAATCGAATCGGAATAAATATATTTCGACTCATCTTTTTTTATCTAGGTGAAGTCATTTAAGACCAAGGGAGGACCTTTGCACTGCATTAGCCCAAAAAATGTAGTAGTTAATGTTTTAATAGAAGTCTTGTCCTCGACTTGGTGATCTTGAGTCGGTCCAGAGGGAGATAGTTACGAGATCACACTCTCTCTTTAAGCCCTGACTCAACTCCCTTCTCAACAAGAGACTGTGGTTATTAAGCACACACAACAAAAACCACATCACTCTAACGAACTATCACTGCGAGAGCCCCACAAGGAAGATCTGGTGAAGCTACTTGACGAGTCATAATTGATACTTGATAGCTAACCAACATGCACGTTGGCAAATTCCTATTGACATCATTGCCTCCTCTATAGTCATCCTATACACTCGCCACTAAGGCAGATTTCTATCGGAGGCTAACGCTAAAGCTCTCGATCGTGTTCACACACGATCCAGTCCCCTCTATTTTTTTACTAAATACTGACTTGAGAGTTCGAGGGTCAACCAAGGATACAATTTAAGGTGGGGCTTCTTTTGCAGGTCCACCGGAGCGAGGATCGTTGTATCAACCTGCATCAACCGTTCCATACCGGCAGGAAGATTTCCGACTTGCAATAATGAGTTAATGACAGAGAGAATCACACAAGTTGAGACCAAAGGTTCCCTTTTCTTAAGCCCTGAAATGGAAGTGAACAGGGCCTTAATGTTATATTGTTAGTAGCCGGTTAAGTTTTTCACGGACAAATTTTTTTTAACTTGACGACAATACTACTACTTTAACTTATAATCTTCTTGTAGTTTACGAGTTCAAGTGGTAGTATTGTTTATTTAATTTTAGCTAGAATGAAATTTAAGGAATTAAAAAAATTAAAATAATAAAAATGACTTGGAAAATCAAGTTATTGTGGATACTTGAACCTTCAAAAATTTCGAAAGGGTGAGACTAATTTGAAAAAATGTAGAGTATAATTATATTGATTAATTTCGCATATTTATTGGTTTTGTTTGGAATTGTGTGAATATGCCAATTATAATAATAAAAAAATCATCCATGTCCTTAACATTTATTTTAGGTGATCACGGTGAATTGTATATGCGATACTTTGAAAATAAAGGATAGTAAACTCTATTAGAAGTCATTTTTGTGAGAAGGAAGATAACAAGAGGCTAGTACAATAGCAAGACGAAACCGCTATAATTTTGGAGCACTTCTAGTATGCTATATAGCATTGGTGCTGTAATGTACAACTTGAAGTTGTACTATAACATTAAATGTATAAGTTTAGGTTGTACCATAAAAGAATTTGTATACCATCACATAAAGTACAAGTTTAAGTTGTACCATAAAAGAATTTGTACAAAAAGTATAGGTACAATATGAAATTGTACCATAACGTTAAAGGTACAATTTCAAGTTGTACCATAAAAGCAAAAAACTATAGCACCAATGCTATATAGCATTCTAAAATTCCTCATAATTTTGTGACAAAACCATAGCAATGTGTCAGCTTTTCAACCAATACAACCAGTCGGTACAACATGGGATACGGACTGTGTAAATTACTAATCAAGGAAGCTCGACAATAGGCACTTAAAATGATTCATGAAAGGCACAAAATCATTGCATTTCAGAGAAAAGAAGGTTTACACGATGATTGAATCTTCCAGCAAAATGGAGATACAATAATGGTCCTTATTTCGCTTGGAGAAGCCATATATATCGCTGGGGGAAAACAAGACTCAAAATGATAAGCAACTCCTTTATTTTCTGAACACTTAGAAGTAGTTGCTTTTGTAGAAGTTCTTGAGAAAATCGGAAGTCCCTTCATCCTTAGTTCCCAAATCATGCACCAGTCCTCGCTGGCCCACTACATATTGCCCAATAATGTGGTGCCGCTGCTTTGAGTGCTGCACAATGTTGTGCAACTCTTCTGTCCCCTTCTGAAGCAGCATGTCGATCACCTGCAGGTTCTTTCTCATCAGTGAAACCATACAGCATAATGTAGTGAGTGTTCCCAGATATGAATTTCCAGAAAGATTGATGACAACCAGGCTAATGACTCCTCTCTACTTCAATCCATCTATGGACTCTAAAGAGCAGATTCTCAGAGATTGCACAGGCAAACTAACAGGCACAGTTCAGACACACACTTGATTGAGTAAGACAAGTATGGTACAGGTGCAACAGATAACATGCGAGCATTGCAGAATGGTTTTGTGCTGCCATATATGTAAACCGATTGAGCAAGCCAATAAACGTAACTCAGATGACATAAAGTTCAAAGATTTAGAGGATTCAGTTCTACTTGCCAACGGCTCATGGACAGTGAGAAAGAGCATCCTCCATTACACATGCCGGGAGAGTACGCCTGAGCAGGGGCACCAACCTCTGCTTTATCACAGCTAAATTCTTCTAACATGATTCATAGTTCACTTTGAAATGTAAGTTCAGACCATAGGTCTCCTTTTTCTCATCATGAAAAATGCTCATCTTTTCTAAAACAATGGAAGGGTCCGATCATGCTTTTCTAATCGACACTTCAGAAAGCTTACAATACAAAATGCACAACCCACACAACTTACCAATTGCGAATTAAGCATTCTGGTATGGAATTTTAGAAAAAATAGTGGAAGTTTTTACTTCGGCGCCATCACTTAACAACTTCCTTCGCCATCTTACTTCTATCAAGGGAATTCTGTTAAGCAGTCTAACTTTGACAGTGTGTAAATATGACTTGCGCACCAACCTCAATCGAGCTACATCTACCATCTGATTAATAAGATAAAAAGACAAAACCTTCTTCACTACCGTGGCCTATCTTCCAAGTTAATAGATAAACTAATACTCTAAATCCGGAATTGCTACTGTCTTCAGAAGGAAATAACAGTAGAACAAATGCATTCTATTACAAGGAAACCCTCATAAAAGTAGGGATTGGGAATTGAATGACTAGATGTACATAAACCAATACTAGAAAGGCTAACAGGCAATAGGAACAACCAAGCTGCCTCAAGCCTCCCTCTTTCCCTAACGCAAAGCATAAAACTTAACAAAATAAGGGAGTCAGAACCTTTGCGCATCCACTGGAACTCTGGAAGTCCATTACTGAGAGAATACTGAACTAAAGTCGAGAGTCAGTCAATTCACAGGAAAAGCATGTGCATTTCAGAAGAATTATGTGATAGGAAGGCCGCTTCACCTAGGCAATCTAACAACTAGGAAACAATAGGCGAGATAGTGAAGGGCTCCATAATCGCGGTTCCCAATTAGGGCAAAACGAATTCGGAGCCGTAAGATAGAAATGAGAAGAAAGGGGAAGGAGAACCTTGGGATTGGTGATGTGAGCGTGCCTGCGGATCTCGGAGGAGACGGCGGAACGGAGCTGGGATTCGTTGACGACGTCCTGGAGATTGTAGATTTCCATGACGGTAGGGATGGATCGGCAGGTGGTTTTGAAGAATTCGAACACCCGAGCCCTCGCCTCTGCGAGGCTTGCCGAGTTCGCCTGTACCGTTACAAACTTTAACGAAGCAGCTGCTGCCCTCTCCCCCATTTCGCCGAATTGTTTCTTCAAGCACTCTGATCCCGGTAATCTTTGCTACCTCTCTTAGTTCACGCGACGGTGTTGATTCTCTGGACGAGAAACGATGGCTGGTAGCGGAGAAACTGGTTTCGGGAGCAAACCTGTCTAGACTTATTGACTTGACGGGCTCAATCAAGTGCACTTGGTGGTCAAATGACGAAACGACAACGGTTTGTCTACAGTCAGGGCATTGCCGTTGAGGAAGTTCAAAGGGTTCAGGATTAAAAGGCACAGGGTCATTTTAGACATAATTTTGTCCTCATGGTCAATGGGCAATGGGTTGGTCTCTAAATTGATGTTTGGATCGTACCACACCGAATTAAGGCCCAAAACAGACCAAACAGATCGAATTCATTATTGGTCTTGTCCTTGATCCTAAGTTATTTTTAACTATTGAATCGCAATTCTTCTGAATTTGGTCCGATTTGATCTGGACCTGACCGATGTCCACCCCAACTCATGGTTGTTCACTTGTGAGGCTTCTTTCTACACTTAAAGGTGTGTTTGGCTTCAAATACATATATTTTAAATGGCAGTATTTCGGGGGGAAATGACAGTATTAAATTGCATTTAAATTAAATTCATTTTTTTGGCTACTTATTTATAATTTATTAGTATTTTAGATTTTTTATATTAATTTTGAATTCTATGGTCACTAACTACAAATTTTGGAAACATAATGATCATATTGTAATTATTAAAAATAGAAAATTGTGTAACCAACGATTAGAGGACAAAGCAATTGCATTTGTGTTTTTTATTGTCAACTCAATTTTTTTGCAATACCCATCACATTCACTTATCACCTACATCAATGCAATTACCTTGCAATTGCATATGTAAACCTAACTTAATTTTTTAATAAAATAAAAGTTTGTATGTTTATTATTTTTTAATAAAAAGAAAAAAATACTTATGTGGCAATTGCATATTGAATTGTATAAAATGAAAGCTTGCAATATTGCAATTGAGATTTACATCCATGCAATTGCATTTCGATTGCCACATCATTTTGCAATTCAATATGATAGTTTGATGTGGAACCTCCGCTTCTAAACGTTGTACTCAGAGTATACATGTATTCTGCAGAATACAATATTTTTTAACTTGTTTTAATCACAAAATGCATGTACAGAGAATGCATGATGTATTCATAATACATAGAAAGTTATGTATATTTAATCTCACCTTTTTTTTGTGAGATTTAGTGTCCATAGTTCATTTCATGTATAATCCATGCATTCTTCTATGTTTTCCAAACAAAGCATTCTTAAAACCTAGTATACACATAATCTTAATACACACATTCTTGTAATACACCATTTCCGGAATAAAAGGTTCCAAACGACCCCTTAAGTTATTCTCCTCCAAAATAGCTTTCGTGGCTCTCCTTCCAAGAATCGAAAATTCTATTCAATGGAGGAAAAAACCTTAATTTCCTTCTCGGAGTTGGACGACCCTCGATACCTTTTGGGCAGAGATGGTCCGGCCATGGCTCCGAAAATTGTGGTTTACTGGTTTGACAGTGGTGGTGGTGGTCTGCCTGCGTTTAGTCCGGCGATGGTGGTTTGGCGGTGGCGGTGGTGGTTTGCCGGTGGTGTGAGGGTGTTTGAATCAATGTTGATTGGTATGAAAGATCCCAAATTAGAGGGCAAAAATGACATTTTAATTTAAAAAATGGGCGGCAAATAGTAAAGACTTAGGCATCCAGTTGTTTGATATCGAGGAAAATTTAACAAGCACAAGCAACCACCTGCATCCGGTGGCAAGCTTGGTAACGTAAAATGGGCCGCAGCCTATGCTCACCAACATGTCATTCTGGTGTCACTTGGTAGAATCCGACGGAGAACTAATTCAGTTACTCTTTTGTGATTGTAGGACTAGTGACAATGATCTCGACTTCTTACAAGTTTTCAAGCTGTAAAGGACATCTAATTTATGGATTCAAGTCAAGAGGTTGGAGGGATGGACAATCTTTGTCAACCAAGTCACCGCATTCTCCTCCTCCTCGAGCCCCCCCCCCCCCAAGGATGCCAAAAAGGAACAAAACCCTATTGTATTTACTTCTTTCTATATCGCTACCGAACAATTGCTTTGATGTGGAAACAAGACAGTCGTCATGTGTTATGCTCACTCCTCCTGGAATACACCTCTACCATGGCTCTATATGGTTTTCCATTTCCTTCCTCAGCTACGATCGCGGCCAAAGTATAGCTACTACTCGCCATTGCAGCAGCTTTGCGGCTGCTAGAGAAGTCTATCCTCCTATTGACAATGCTGGCACGCAAAAAGTTTTTGGATGCAGCGACAAGGATGAAGCTACATTGCCCTCCAAGATCATATCGTTGTTGGACCTTCCTCTAGAATTTCTTCACAACATAACGACACGATTGGTGGTGGTGGGTGAATACAAAAACTTGCACGCTTCTTGTAAGACATTTAAATCGACAACACCGTTGATAACGTCTGCAACTCCTGAAAGTCTGGCACTCCAGTCTCCCTCCTCATATCCATGGTTTTCTACTTTCAACACCACACGAGAAGCCTCCATCTCCACGAATTGCGATGCAGAAACACATTCACCAATAGTCAACACCACCTTCCCAAATCTCCATCATCGAATGACACCACATGCATTTTCTTCTCAAAGAACCTTTGGTTACTGACTTGCATGAATGAGACCATTTTTGACCCCGGTGTGGATGCACTACCTCATGATGTACAAGAATTTAAGTTTTGGGACCCTTTCGAGGAGAAAGTTCGCAGCATTCCTGGGATAATGCCCCTCCCCCTCCCTTAAGCATTGGGGTCTCAACCGCACCTACTTCTCCAAATTGTTCCATCATGGGAGTAGCGTCAGATACCACAAAATATGGTGGTATGATGTTCCATTTTCATGAAAATGGATGAGGGGCAGTGGTATTATATGGATGATAAGGAGGCGAATTTTCAACCAAGCGACCATAACACCCCAACCTTTCTAGACAGTAAGTTCTACTTCCTGGATAAGAAAAGAACATTAGGTGTTTTCAGCTGTCATCGTGGCGTTGAGGGACAGTATGAATGGGAACGCGCCGTGTATCCACGGAAGCTCCTAACCAATCATGTTGAGACTATAGTGGTGAATCCTCATGATGATTATGAATCCAAGAGTTAGTATCTAGTGGAATGTGGAGGCCAAATTCTGCCTATGCGTGTAGGTGATCTCGGTAAGTCGATTCTAATTTACAAGTTCGATCAACAGAAGAAAGGTTGGTGGAGAATCAAGAGCTTGGGATCACACATGGTATTTCTGAGCAAAACTTCATATTTCTCCATGGTGGCAACATTTCCTGGAATGGGAAACAAAATATATTTTCCTAGAGTATCTGTTAAAGGAAGTATTGTGTACTATTCGGTGGATACACATAAATATCACACATTTGACTATGATCATGATGTGATGGAAGACTTTCAAGGGACTAGTGAAGTGCACCTCTGTGGTTGGATTGAAGCCAAAGGTCTACAATACAACAACTTGAGTGAGTGAAAAAAGTTGTAATTGTTGAAGATTTAACATTAGCATGCATACTAGTTTTTATTTTATACATTAAATATACTTAAATCCTTTTATACATTATATTATACTTTGTATGGTACGGTCGCACTCCCGCCTTCAAATTTTTCCACAATAAAGGGTCGTTTGCTAAGTGGGTTTTAAAAATAAAGGTTTTATTAAAACTTGGATTTTGTAAACCATGGGTATTAGGGGTGGCTATACGGTCCGGTCCGGTTAAATTGGCCCAAATTGATCCGGTCCAGTCCGGTTTTTTTGAAAATATAAGGACCGAAGATTGGATTGGATACAGTCCGGTCTTGATCCGGTCCGGTCTTGACCCGGTCCGGTCCCAATTCGGTCTTGATTTTATATTGAGATTGTGGGAATTAGAGTGGCCTAAGGCCTAAAAGGGTGAGGAGTTGGTTAAGTTTTGTACTAAGTGCAAAGGTTTGTGACCGTTTATGCAAATTACCTTTAAGTTTTGGGTGTTGAGCTCTCTTATCCGGTCTTTATCCGGTTTTTTACCTCAAATCTAAGCCCAAAGATTGGATTGGATTGTTTACGATCCGGTCCCGGTCCGGTCTCGGTCCGGGTTATACGGTCCGGTTTCCGGTTTTTCATCCGATCCCGGTCCAAATAGCTAGCCCTAATGGGTATGTGAGGTTTTTGAGTTCATTATGGAATTGAAAAATAACATTGTTTATTTCACAGATTTCATGATGGATTCGGTTAATTAGATTTGTATGAATATAGTGAAATTGACTTATATTGCTCATTAGTATGCAAAGAGAAAGGAAATACGAAGGGCAAATTGGTCATAAATGATGGACTTGAAAGTCCATGATCAATTCTCACGTAAAGTCGAGGAACTTTTAAATCAATGGACCCCACGAATTTTGACCCTTAGGGGGCATAGATTTGTTGCCCATAAATACATCAAACAAACAATGGAATTGGAACAAAGTCCATGATGGATCCAAAATCATCACCAAATTCATCATCAAATCCCTCAAGCAAACGACCTCTAAAGTTCCTTTGTTGAGGGATTGGTTGCCCACTGATTTACTCCCACTCCAATTTATGGGCCGGAAGCCCACCAATTTTCTATTAATCTACAAAATTACTAAACGAGATGCATAATTAGAGAACCAAGCAACAAAAATGGAGGAGATGTCAAAACTAATCCACAAGTATGATGGTAAAGCCTAAACTATCCACATTCCCGTTTTTAAATATCCAAACTCATACCTGTCCCACACCCATGCGGGGAAGGTTTTGCAAACTCATTCCCATACCCGTGGGTTTCGGGTAATAATGGGTAATACCCGCCCCGTACATCCAACATTATAATACCTAAAATTTTACATGTAAATTTTCAATTATGACATTAAACATACCTACCATATCATGAAGTCGAAAAAGAGACAACAATTCTTAATATGGTTCAAAGCATCTTATCCAAAAACATCCATTAATTCATAAGATAGAGTACAGTGTAATCCAAATCGTTCTCTGACTTTGATACATCTACTAAACAATAACTAATTAGCATAATCTTGCTAACGCAGGGAAAAAAAGTGAAAGAGTGAAAGAAGAGTTGCTAACGCTAGTCAATTGGATTTCTAGTAATTGCTTTGTTGAATTACCCTCACTGTTTTTTATCTATGAAAAAATGCTTTTGGTGGGGCGGGTATGAGTATGGGGCGGGGATGCTAAAACCATATCCACCTCATACCCATCAAGTGTTTTGCGAGTTTTACCCATACCCGTCCCATACCGAGTCAAAGCGAGAATTCTCCGTGTTGACTGGGTCGGGGTGGTCGGATATCCTCTGTTATAGGCTCGAGTGCCATCCCTAACCACAACAACCAATGTACTGAGAAATATTTCACTTTTTTTGGTTGGAAGAAATATTTCACTTGTCAAGGCGTTTGAAATTGTTTTCATCAGCATATAAAATTTAAGGTTTAAGACTTCTTCAAAAAAAAAAAAATTTAAGGTTTAGAGCTTATGGTAATGCATACAGTCTCGATCCTATATTATATAATCATATTATACTATGATTATCAATTAAAATTCAATGTGTTATTTTTAGAGTTTGATGTATAGTGTGTGCACTCATTTACTCTATATATAAAAGTAAGGTTCCAAATGAAAAATGGTTGTTGTCTGGACACGCGTCCAAAAGTGACCTGAAAACCAAAATATTGTTCTATCATTTACAATTCTGCCATTCCATTACCGTTACTTGTATGTTCATGAAGGAAGGGAGGAAAAGGAGGGGAGGGTAGGAAAATTTGGAGGGGAGGTTAAGTTTGGAAGGAAGGGAAATTAGAGGGAATTGGAAAGAAAATGTTGTTTAATGGAGGAAAGTGGAAGGGAAAGTGGGAGGGAAAAAGTAGATTGGGAATTGTGATATGTATTATATTTTATTGATGATAGAATAGTTAAATAATTTAATTATGTGTTTATACTATTTACATTAATTATGTAACGTGGATCAAATTTGTTCTTCTTTGTTAATTTTGTTAACTACAACAAATCAATTATGTAACGTGGATTAATTATGTAAACGCGCCAATCTGTTTAAACTACGGTGGGAGATTTTTTCAGTCGAATCGTCGGTAAGATATGATTTTAAGTTGTATATTAACGATTTAGTTATATATACGATACAAGTAACCTACATATTAGTAATTCTTCAATGAAATAATTATTTTTGTTTGGCTACTTCTTTGTTACTAATTAATTTTATTAGGAAGCAGAATTAAGGCTAAAAGTCACCAGGACTAATTTGATTACTTTCATCCTAATTAGACTTACTAAGCCCACACAATTATTACCCACGTAAGCTAATAACCCACTAACCTACTAAACCCTAGACTAATTAACTCATTGACACAAATGCATATACTAACCCCAAAACCCAACATTTATCTCATCATGTTGAGAAGAAGTTTTTCTGGTTCTCTATCCTAGGGAGAAGAAAAAAGAAGATACAGAAAAGTAAAGAGAGAGGTGAGAGATGACAAATAAAATAAATGGAAATGTTGATAGTGGGAAGTTTCTCTCGGTTTTGGAGGGGTGAGTTCAATAGTAACCTTTTCCTTTCTTTTCCTTCACCTTGTCACTGTTCCAAAACTAAAAAACAGGGGAAAGTGCATTGGTTCTGCAACTTTCCACTCATTTCTTTCCCTCCCCTCCTTTTCCTTCTCATATGAACATAGGGTAGGGTCAGATCTCATACTTTAGCCTATAAGTATAAACTAAATGAATCTCTATTTGCCGCCCTAATATTTACTATTTGTCGCCTATAGTTCTAAAATATAAGACGATTTTGCCCTTCTTTCAACTAACCCATCTCCTCACAACCTCCTCCCACAGGCCACAACAGCCATCGTCGGCCACTTCATTCCTTCGATCCCTTCACCGTTGCTCCCACCGCCGACCCCTCCATTCCTCCGACCTCACTCCCTCCCCTCACAAAGTCGCCGGCGTTGAAGAGGAAGGAGCTCGCCGTTGGTGTTGTCGTCGCCGACGTAGAGAAACGAGCTTGCCGAGAAGCTAAACATCGTGGACAGACGGGGTCCGACCGCCAAACGCGGACGAGTCCGCTCGCCCTGCGCGGACGGGGTCCGAATTTTGGTGGCGTACGGGGTCCGAGAACAGGCGGCGGACGAGGTTCGAGGCCCAGCGGCGGACGGTTACTATTTTTTTTCTTCAATTTTTATTTGAATTATTAATTATTAAATTAGTAATTAAATAAGTGTAAAATAGCATAATTAGGATTTAAATAGTTATGTTGTTTTAAGTAATTATAAATCCGATAATTAAGCAAATTAAAGAGAGTTTTTTAAGCAAGTTTTCGGAAGAGGAAATTTGAGTAATAAGTTTTCGGAAGGAAATTTCAGTAATTAATAACCTCTAGTTGTATTTTCCTATTCAACAACCCAATCCAACGTAATTTCCTCCCAATACATCTAATGATTATTTTCCTAATTAACAACCGGAAATAAATTCTTCCCTAATAAGGCAATAACCCACATCCCCTAATTACACTCTCAAATTAACATCCCAATTATCAAACACGTATGGAATATAATTTATTAATATATTATTTTTTCAAATAGATAAGAACTAGTATGTTAGTTAGATTAAAGGTTAATAATTATATTATTATGTTAAATATATATAATCACGGTTGAAAAAATCTAACCCAAGATTACCAATAATTATATGATGTTATCTCCAATTAAGAACCTCTAATTTGTATTTATCGCCACCAATCGAATTTGTATTTTCTTTTTTGCCCGGGACACTATTCATAATTAGTTAGATTAACGGTGGAATACAATTTATTAATATGTTATTATTTAACATAATTATCAAACACGTATTGAATACAATTTATTACCATATTTTTTTTTTCAAATAAATAAGAACCAGTAACTTAGTGCCACAATTTGGCATTCCGACTTTAATGCGACAATTTCACTAACAGTACCAAGAATGGACCTACTTACCGGTTGACCGACTGCCCGGGGCCATGGTTTCCTAGGGGGCCCAGGGTGGAAGTGGGGGTCTTACCTCTTTGATTTGTATGTGGGATGACGCTACTCGTACTGGGTCTCATGCGGCTGGGGGCTTTGTTGGTATGACCACGGAGGGGGTGGTTCTCTGGGCTCGCGGGTTGCATTTTGCGGACATTGATGATCCTATGGTTGTTGAGCTCCTGGTTCTGTGGGATGCGATAGCTTGGTGTTTGGAGTATGGTGTTATTAATGTTAGATTTGAGGGGGATGCGAAGGTTGTTATTGATAAAATTGACCAGGCGGATGCTCGGGATAGCACAATGGGAGGCGTCCCAGAGGAGGTCATTCGGCTGGTGTCTGCGCATCAAAGCGTTAGTGTACGATTTGTAGGTCGGCGTAGAAATAGGGTAGCTCATTTGGTGGCTCGAAAGGCCCTTTCTTTGTACCCATCTTCATGTCGTTTCTTTGATTTCATGTCCTGGTTAGATTCCAGGATGTAATGCCTTTATCTGATCTTTTAATATAATTGATTATATTTGGTAAAAAAAAAAAACTAACGGATCCAAAAAGAAGGGAACTGCTACTCCACGCCAATGGTGATTTGCTGCAACTACCAGAACATGTTTCCTGCTCAGTGGAAAAAATCAAGAAATTCATAATCAAACTGACCAGGTATAATATCCTGACCAGGTATAATATGGAGCAATCCTTGAGCACATACATGATACACCATCACCAATGTCGCGGATAGGGATCCAGAAAGTATCTAAGCATACGAGGCAGCCCCAGAAAAGGTACAACTACAGTGTCTCTTAACATACACAGCATTTCAATAAACATGAAGATAGACATATTCAATGAAACCGACTCAGCCTTACAAGTTACCATTATTTAGAGAAAACATACAACGAGCAAAACATCCACCAAATCGTCACTGTCAACTATTCCTTGAATATTTCATGGATTTATTCACATCTATACTTAGATGGATAAGACTGCACTGCATAACAGCGAACCAAAGGCTTGACAAAGCCGGTAGCAGCGCCTGCAAACCGCAACACTAAGCTCTCTGACACCCATGAAAACAGAGAAACAAGAGACACATTTCACAGTGGAGGAAGCAAACAAATAGGAAAAGGCAGCCGGAGGTCCAGCCAAACACAAGACAACATAGGTCACATACTACAAGAAGCTCAAGGCCGCCTTGGTGATACCAGATTCCGACTAGCAAAATCCAACAGCACCACCATCATTCATACCCAACATCTACTACTATGCAAAATATTCAAGAATGTGATATCTAGCACTCATGCACGAATGAAAGACGAGGACAAAACTGCATAAAAGGTAACCCACCCACCCTAGAGGATGAAGGCATCAAACAGGGGCAGGGTAGAAGTTAGCAGGATCTAGAACAGTATAGAGACGCTTTTCGAGAACATCAACATTCAAGCGAATAGCATTGGTTTGTTTAGATGTCCCCGATGGTGATGGTGATGACGATGACACCGAGGGTAATCTCAAAACTGTAAGCCCCAAGGTACCGAGGGCTGTGCCATACACGAGACAAAACGTGGTGCTCAATTGGTCCTTCTGCAGCTCAACCACTCTGCAAGCCATAATAGAATCAACACTGAATACTTGAGGCGGGATTTCTTGTTTGTGTAATCCACGTCCCGTCTTGACATCGATAAATTCAGCAAAGGCAGCAGTTCTATCATAATCGTCCATGCCAATGTGAGCATAGATGACCACAAAACATTGGGCGCCAATGTCACTGAGGTTCATCTTAGACGACAAGGTTGCGGCAGCATGTGGAAACCGAAACTTATCCAAGGCCCAGGTTTCGGTGCCAGGAATACGTACGTCCGCCGATAACCACATACAACTTGTTGCCGATGACACCCTGCTTGAACTTGAGACAATGAGAGTAATTTTCGTAGTCATCGGTGCCCGGCACGTAGAAGGGAGGTGGGGGAAGCGGCCTCCACCGACAACACCTCAGGTGAAGTTTCTTACCTCTCCAATTCTGATCTTTGTCATCCCTCGACGCCGGCCGCTTCTTATGACGACCTCGGGCCATCGTCACCACAATACGGAGACGGATAGGAAGCCCTCGATCTTGATCTCGCTAACCCTACTCCCCAATCTCTTCCCCTGTTTAATGTTTATATATCGTCTTAGGTCTCGCAAGTTTTGTAGCGGGGCTTCTTGTTGTGCCCTGAACTATAACTAGCTTTTACCAAGGAACTAAGTAAATACACAAATAGCAGCAAACAAACTTGAGTGGGTTATAGATTCCACGAAACGAGTAAACATCACTCAATCCTTACATTACTCATAATACTAATTGCAGCAGGGTCTGAAAAGTTGCCGGGATCATGATGGAATACTAGACTTAGACTGTGAGTGGCATCATTAATGTTCAATCATCATCGTAAGAGAGATGGAAAGCAGTGGAACAGCCAGGCGCGTCAGGTTGCTCTGCTCCGCAGCAGTCGTAGAATTTAGCTGCATATGGCGGATCATTTGGCCCTAGCTCGTAGTACCTTCATTCAATTTGAGTACAAAGGAAGAAAGGGTTTGATTATAATTAGCACAAAACGTAAGATCATTGGATCTAATCTAAACAAAATTTATCTGTGAAATTTCAGTGCTCTGCTTTCCACTATGTTCTTGGCTATTGGATTTGCATAAGCTACGAATTCCATATCAAGCAACGAACTTTAGGGAAAAATCAATCGAAAGGGATCATTTGGACCCAACCCTCTGATTTTCCCGATTCAATTGATGAGAATCGGGCGGCGCAAAGTGGGAAATTGTTGATGGGAATTTTTTTGGGAGGAAAGGGGACAAAGTTTTCCGGCGGATTTTTACCTTTTCTGGTCGTCGTGGCGGCGGCAGACGAAGAAGGAAGGGTGGAAGCGGCAGGCGGCGGAGTTATTGGATGAGGATGTGAAGCTCTGCTTGCATCTCCGGCATATCTTCTCTCCCTCAATTCTCTCTCGTTGTTTCTCCATCTCTGATTCTCTTCCCTTCAGTTTTTCCTTCCTAGGCTACCCACTGTTTGTTAATGTATGTACGTGACTCGGATTCCGGAAAAATTCCATGCCTAATGCCTTCAAATTCATCCCTACTCCAATCGGTCCTCGTAGTCAGTGTTTATTAACACTTTCATCCTCAGCAGGCGGCTAGTTCTCGTCCATAAAAAAAAAAAGGTTTTCTCGGAATACAAAAGAAACGTTTTTAGCGATTAGGGTTTTCGAGAGGTTTTAGTAAATTGAGTTCAGCAGACTACGCTATTGTGAGTCTTGCTTTCTCTCTGCTCAACTTTGCGCTCCACAGCCATGGCCGACACAGAGAGTCAGTCTGCGGAGGAAATCAAACTCATTCAGAAAAGGGTCATCATAGACGGGGAGTATGAGGGAGAAGAAGAGGAGCTTGAGGAGGACGAGGAGGAAGACTGGAACGATTGGGGAGAAGATGGCGATGAAGAACTCGACTCGAACTTCGTTTGTTTATTCTGCGACTCAAATTACACTTCCTGCAACGAGTTGTTCGAGCACTGTCGTTTGGCTCACAAGTTCGATTTCCAAGGGATAAGGAAACGGTTGGGCTTGGATTTCTATGGTTCTTTCAAGCTCATCAACTATGTCCGCTCTCAGGTTAGTTGGGTATCCTTGTTGCTTTTCGAATGCTCTTTGTGCAAAGTTTTTTGCTTTTGTCTGGCTATGAGGAAAGTAGGGGAAGGAAATTGTTGAAGTTTGGAAGTTGTGGTTTTCATGACTGTTCTCTCACAAAATCTGCCATTTTTCCTTTGTTTAATGATGAATAATTTTAAATGTGGAGCTCCTAAAACCTGAAGTTTAGCTGTATCCCATTCCGCTTCATATATGATCTGAACGAGAAATTCCAATGAAAAACTGGCTTGAAAAGACGGAGGAAGCTCAAATTTGCTTTGCTACTGTTATATGCTTGCAGGCTCATCCAAGTAATGTGGACTTTCGAGAGTATCTATTTGTATCAGTTATTTTGCTTTCATTTTCTAGGTAGCACAAAATGGATGCTGGAGTTGTGGGGTCACCTGTCAGTCCAAGGAGGATTTGCAGAACCATTTACATGAAACCGCCAATCTGGAAAATGTTAGGCTTCTGTGGGATGATGACAATTACTTGAAACCTTTTATGCAAGATGATATGCTCCTGCACAGTTTCAGTGAAGAGGAAGAAGAAGAAGATGCTGAAGATGATTATAAAGCATCATTTGATAAAGATGAACTCATGAGGCATCTGGGGGATATTGGAGTGCTGAACATCAATGAAGTTAATGGCGGGTCAACTTCTGAGCATCATTATGAAAGTTTTAAACAAAATGAAACCAAAGAGCCCGCCTCTTCTTCAAATGGCCAGGTCGTCTACAAATCTCTGCAGCCTTTAATAACCAATGGTGTATTGGGTGATGCAGAACCCACAAATATTGTTAACCTTTCTGCAAACAAAATCAAGACAGTGAATGACAACTATTTTGGATCCTACAGCTCTTTTGGCATTCATAGAGAGATGATAAGTGATAAGGTAATTGTTTCCCCGTAGTTTAGTCCATGTTAAAGGATTTTTCTTCTGTAGAATGTGTTATTCATGTAGTAAGTATGTGGTACTGTCATTAGAATTTGTAGTGCAATTTATTTTATGTTTATATATAATTTTTGCCCTCCACACAAGTAAAAGCTTATAGTAAGAACTGATGTGCAGGTACGGACCGACTCTTATAGGCAAGCCCTCATGAAAAATCCTTCGCTCTTAACTGGCGCTGTTGTGATGGACGTTGGCTGTGGAACTGGCATTTTAAGGCGAGTCATCACAACATGATCTATCATTGACACGCTACTGAACCTTGTTTCTGTACATTACTTACCAGGGCCATAGTGTTTTTGTTTTGCCAGTTATGAGGACCTTGAGATGTCTCCTCTCTCGTACTTTTGCTGTTTTTGCATGTTTATGGATATCATTAATCGATATCTGAGGAATTCTCATTCCAGTTCTTTGTCACAGTCTCTTTGCAGCACAAGCAGGGGCTACAAGAGTAATTGCAGTTGAAGCCAGTGAGAAGATGGCTGCTGTTGCAACACAGGTATAGTTCCCAGATGTCACTTAATTCAAGCTTTCTTTATCCCTTCATTTTATTCTTTTTTTAACCCCATTTTTATCATGCTAGATTGCTAAAGACAATAATCTACTAAGAACTACTGATCAAAGTGACGGGAACAATAGCAAATCCACTGGTGTTATGGAGGTGGTTAAGAGTATGGTTGAAGAGCTTGATAAATCCATAAAAATTGAGCCTCACAGTCTTGATGTACTAGTAAGTGAATGGATGGGATATTGCCTACTTTATGAGTCTATGCTTGGCTCAGTGCTATTTGCAAGGGACAAATGGTTGAAGCCAGGGGGCGCAATCCTTCCAGATACAGCAATTATGGTTGGTTCCCTTGCTCCCCCTCCCCAACTCTCTCTAGCATCCTTGCTGAATGGCAACAAACTAGTTTTCCTTTTGTTAAATCCTGATTTATTTCTCTCTTTTATGTACAATGGCTTCTTCTCTAGTATGCTGCTGGATTTGGAAGAAGTTGCACCAGTCTCCCATTCTGGGAAGATGTGTACGGTTTCAACATGTCATGTGTGGGGAATGAACTTGTTCAGGATGCAGCTCGAATCCCCATTGTTGATGTTGTGCAAGATTCAGATTTGGTGACACATGCCTCGGTTCTCCAGGTTCGTTTTCTCGCGTGATAACTTCCCAGTCAATTGCCAAACGGGTCGGGTTGGTGGGTTCATGTAAGTTTGGTTAAGATGAGTTTGTGAGTTCTGATTTGACCGTTGTAAATCAATGTTTCCTGTTTCAGAAATTTGATCTGGCAACTATGAGCCCTGACGATGTGGATTTCACTGCTACAATCGAGTTAGAACCAAAGTCAGACAATGCAGTAGCCAATCTCACCGAATCCAAAGCAGCATTGTGTTATGGGATTGTAGTATGGTTCGACACAGGTTTTACCTCCAGGTTCTGCAAAGAAATGCCAGCTCTTCTATCCACATCACCGTACACTCCCAAGACACACTGGTGCCAGACCCTGCTCACCTTGAGGGACCCAATAGCTATTGCCTCCATGGGGCAGCAACCTGGTGATAACTCTGCAGTGGTTGGGAGCGAGAAATGTCCAGTGACGAGACTCAGTCTGAGAATCAGCATTGCACGAGGTGTAGAGCATCGCAGCATCGACATCTCCATGGAGGCTTCTGGAGTTGACGCTGGTGGCCGGAAACGTGCCTGGCCTGCACAGATCTTCCATCTGTCGTAGAACATTTGTGTCTACGTGGAAAGTCTGAGTCATTGGGGGAAAGTTTTGGATGACCCCAGAAATATCTGGTCTTTGTTTTGTGTGTTGTTCCCCCCTGGCAAGCTGGATGTGTTTTTCTAAGTTATAGCATTCTGAGAAAATGTAACCCAACAATGCTTATCAGATACATGAAGTGAAGTGATTAGCAAACAACAAGCTTATCATAATGGAATGTTTTGGCCAACCATCTTGCTCATAAGATTCAAAGTTGATTGAGGTTGAGTCTCGGCGTGTTGCTTTCTCTTATAAAGTTGGTGCATCACTATCGCTGTGAAAAACTCTCCTTATGTAGCGTTTATAGGATGTTACATCAATGTAAGTAATACAAATTTAGTCCTACGTGTTGCTTAGCGCCATGGTGATATTCAAAATATATCATGGTGGTATCAAAGGATACCATGACGGTATATATGATCATAAGATTCAAAATATATAAAAATGAATATAATTTTGTCGATAATTTTTTTATATGTACTTTTTTTTTGAAATTCAAGTTAAAATGAAAAACATACAATTCCCAATTAACAAAAGTAGGACATAAAAAAGTTATTTAAATCTCAATCATTAGATTGATCCAAGAGTTCGAGATTTGATTATAAAGTTTTCATAATTTTGAGGATATATATTTGAATTTGGCTCAACATTGTCTATCTTCATGCACAAGATAAAATAAATAAAAGAATTATGTCCAAAGATAAAAGGGAAAAGAAAGAAATTGATAGGCCACCTATGAATGTTATCGACCAGCTGGAGCTGGATTCTATAATGGCTTCTCATTCTAAATAAAGCTTAGCGCAGATTTCCGTAAAAAAAAAAAAAAAAGATAAAAGGGAAAAGAAAGAAATTGGGATTGCATTTTTTGTACCATTAGATTACTTGCATAACAATAGAATCAATCACGAGATTGACCAAAGCTAATCACGAAAGTCACAAGTCAACACACCCGTTGGAAACAAAAAGAGAGCATTCTTAGCCACCACTGCCGTATTGCTAATCCTACTCACAAACCAAACCCCAAATCTTGGTTACGCCAACGCATTTGTCAAGCATCCTCCAAAGTGACCCGCCATACATCTCTCGTGTCAACGACCACCTTCTCGTCACCTGATTTACCCGTCGATGACGACTTTCTCGTTGCTTTACAATTGCACATTATGCAGGTCCATTGGGACACCACCGGAATGCATGATACAATGCTTTGATCTATTCCAAACCAGAAAGAAAGGAAGTAGTACCATTCACTAAGCTAGTCAGCCCATACAAGCAAGCTAACCAAGCCAAGTTAGAGAGAAAGTGCTTCTTAGAGGAGCATCGAGCCCTTGCATTTGGTCTGTTCGCGTTGCCTACAGAGGCTTTTCCCGCAATCGGAAGTTAGTAGGTCTTTGAAGGAGGTGGTCCCCAATCTCCTAAGTAAATATTGTCGTGTCCCCTTCATCCTTATTCCAGGGAAGAAAAAATCAAGATATAATGCCTCTCCTCTCCTTTAGAGTCGAGTGGCGAGAGAGTACTTGGAGAAGTTTAACCTATTGTCTCTACGATATAGAATGAAGGAGGGAGACAAGAGGCAATATTCGAGCTGAGCTGCATTTGTGTTTGTTTAACTGCGTAGAAGCAGCATACCGTATTGCTTTTCATAAGCCCCTTAACGAGATAGAGGCGAAAAGCAAGCAGCCGCGAAGAATAGGGTTTCCAACCTTTCTTACTAATAATAAGTAATAAGAAAGGGGCAAGCCAAAACCAAAACCTACTCTTAACAGCTGGCTTTTCCGCCGTTGCGCGCT